CACACACACACACACACACACACACACACACACACACACACACACACCTAACCATATGCACATGCAATAATATTTCTGAGCCTCACTTTGGGACTCAGCGATGTAGCAGGTACCTTTGTGGACGTAAGTGAAAGACTTGGTCTTGAGCGGGGAGGTAACATGTTCTGAAGAGAGCTGACAGCATGGTCCACTGGAGTGGCTGCTGAGTCAGAGGAGTCATGGGCACTGGGAGGCTCACCCGCTTGAGGTGGATCTGGAGTGAAGAGTGGAATTCCCATAGAAGTATAGCTTCACTTTTTATTTCCTTTTTTTTTTTTTTTGTGGGGAGCAGAACATACATTTTATAGAGGGTCAGGGTGAAGATCAAAGGCTCAGATGTCCAGGTTCATTTCAGAGACAGAATGAGTCGAGGACAAGGACTCTCCTTCACGTTCTCTCACATGACCACTATTTCTGAGTTTTCCAGTTTCCTGCAGTGCTCTCAGAAGGGAGACACTCTTCTTCTGGGGCACGGACTGGTTTCATGGTAACAGCCTGAGATTTAGAGGCAAGGGCCTGGTGCTCGTCTCTACCTCTCTTGTTCTTGCCTCTCCTTCTCACTTTCTCTTTGTGTCTCATGCCTTCTAGGTTGGACTTGGCCCAGTCTCTGGGACTCACTCAGCTACAAGTGAAGACTTGGTATCAGAACCGCAGGATGAAATGGAAGAAGATGGTAAGCAAGGACAAGGAGTGTAACCCTGAGTCCATCCTTGTGAAAAGAATTTCCCCAACAGGGCTGTTGGGAGGCAGGCAGGATCTCTGATAGCTTGGGCTTCAAGATGGAAGGTCTTCCAAAGTACTAGCTAAGAAGGGAGAGTGTTTGAACTTGACCTCATTCCTTTTTTTTCTTTTTAAAATTCTTCTCTCATATAATATATATTATAATATATCCTGACCACAGTTTCCCCTCACTTCCCTCCCCTCAGCCTCTCCCTCCTCCTGCACACACTTCCCCTCTACCCCAGATCTACCCCATCTCCTCCTTTCGGAGAAGAGCAGGCTTCCCAGAGATATCAACCAAACACTGCATAACAAGATACAATAAGACCAGGCACATACCAGCACATCAAGGCTGGACAAGGCAACCTAGTAGGAGGAAAAGGGTTTCCCAGGTAGGCAAAAGAGTCAGGGAAGGCCCTTGCTTTCACTGTTACAATTTAAGAACACCAAGAAACTCATCCATAACATATATACAGAGGACATAGACCAGACCCATACAAGTTCCCTGATCCCTGCAAGTTCCCCTGAGTCCTGCTCATTTGATTTTTTGGGCTGCATTTCTGGGTATGTCCCTGAACCCTCTGGTTCCTCCAATCCTTCCTCCCCGCTTCTCCACAGGACTCTAAGCTCTGCCTGATGTTTGGCTGTGGGACTCTGCATCTGCTCCCATCAGTTGCTGGATGAAATCTTTCTGGTCTCTTTGATGATGATTCTGCTAGGCTCTGGTCCCAGCACACTCTACAGGCAGGGAAATCTGTAGGTCAGAGGTTTTGTGGCTGGTTTGGTGTCCCAATCCCTCCACTTGAGGAGGCCTTGCCTGGTTACAGGAGTTGGCCAATTCAGGCCCTGTGTCCCCCATTCCTAGGAGTCTTCCTCGGGTTACTCTAATAGATTTCATAGTTTCCACTGCACGAGGTTTCCATGTGGCCCCCGAAATGTCCCCCAGTTCCAGTCTTTTCTCCCAGTATTTTCTGCCTCCCTTCACCCCATCTATTCCCTCCTGTTCCCAGCCCCACCTATTCCCAGTCCACCTGTGATATCGATTTTATTTTCCCTTCTCCTGGGGAGATTCTTGTACCCTTCATGTTGCTTAGCCTCTCTGGAGGACATAATTTTTTAAACCAGAAAGATATTGTTATTATTATTATTGTTGTTGTTATTTTAGTTTCCTTAGAAATCAAAGAAGAAAGCCTACAAGCCACTTAGCTGGTAGTCTGATCCCCACCTTCTAGTACTTGCAAAGAACTCTCTTTCCTTCCCAGCAGTAGCTAAGAACTCTCTGGAAATAGTCAGAAAAAGACACATGCACATGCTTCTGTGTCTATGCCCTTTAACGCAGGAATCTTTAAACTTGACTGCCATCATAGTCACTGGAGATTAGGATAAGCCTCCCTCCCCCAGGGATTCTGATTTCAGAGACCCATGGCAGGGTTGGGGACAGGCCAGGTTATTTCAAAGCATAATGCTCCCTTCAACCAGTTCCCACGTCCCAGTGGCCTGTCAGATTATGAACCTGTTGGGAGGGCAGAGCTCTCATGAGGCAGCCACTTCCTTAAATCCTACCTCTGGACAACCTACGTTAGGGATGATGCTATTCCACAGCCGACCTGCAACACTGCTGCCCCTCTGTTAGCCATCCCAAGCACCATGGGAAAGAAAATAAAACACAACCTCTGCTTCCAGTGAACTTTGTCATGTAGCTACAGAGAGAAGGCCCAGGAAGCAGCAAGGGAGTGCAGAATGAGCCAGTGCCAGTTATTTAGTTTGAGTTGACAAGCCCCCCAAAGTGTTCAGAGATACTGTAGCAAAGACAGCTGTAGAGAAAAGCTGAAACTTAAAGACAACGAAATTCAGACAAATGGAGTCATTCTAAAAATTCTCTACTGTTCTAAACTTAAGAAACTTATGGTGGAAACTGGGGGAGGGTGGGTGTTGTTCTCTGAAGGAACCGAGGTTGGGAGTGAGAGGTGCTGGCCTGCATTCCCTTGCATGCCCCTCCCTGCACATTTTGGGCACGTCCCTTTGGTTCTTTTTCTTTTAAGTTCCACCACCTACCTCTTTCCTCATCAATCATCATCGCAGAGATCAATGTCTCCTGAGTAGCAGAGCATTGTTTGAATTGGTTATCAGCAATCTGCTCATGAGTCATATGAGCAACGAACTGACAGCCAGTCAGTCCTCCTGGCCAGCACCGCCCAGTCCCCCGTGGGACAGCGCGTGTGCCTTGGGCTCTGACATCACTTGTTTTTCATCAGCCACTACACTGCTGGCATGGTTGTGGAGTGGTTGGTGATAACTATCAACCGTACACTTCACAATGGAAGTAACTCAGCAGATTTAACCTGAGAGAACATTCGAGGCAAACCAAACTCAGGTCCCTTCAGGAGAGAAGGAACTTTTAGCTCATGTCAGCAATAACATATGGAGCAGTTAATTCCTATCAGGTAACAGGCATGAAGTGACAAGCTCAAGCTGTCCCTTAAAACCTTAAATGTGTTTTGTGGTCCTCCGTGTTTCCCTATGGTGGCTGTGAGTATGGGTGTAAGTCTCAAGACTCGAAAGGACTGTGAGAGGAGAAAAAGGTGTTGAAGGGACAGGAAAGGTGAGGTGAGGAGTACAAGGGGAGGCAGGGGATCAGGAGAAAGGGAGGAAAGTTGTCACAGATAAATGACACTTGAGACAGACCTGAAAACTAAATTACACAGAATAATCAGGGCAACAGAGGAAGGGCTGACAGGGTTCAGGAGCAGAGAAAAGGAGGGAGGGCTTTTTGGAACATGCATCATTAAGTTGGTTTCAGTGGATGAATGGGAATGTGTCCAGTGATGGTGGGGAATGGATTGCAGGCAGAAAGAAGGGGCAGAAGGCCTGAGGCACCTTTAGGAACTTCAAAATGGCAGGAGCCACACACAAGGCGTGGCGTTTAGTTCTAAGTGTTGAGTTCTGACTCCTTCAGAACAGCAAGGCATTGTTGAGCTCCAGATTGCTTCACATATTTTCCTGCTAAAAACTCTTTCAAGGCTATCTCTTCAGGTACTGAGAAGGAAAGAAAAAGATAATTGGGTAATAAAGATGTCTCAAGGCTAGTAACCTAATTGGAACTGGAAAAAGATTAGCATTTGATTCTCAGACTCACTCACGAGGCTGCCAAGGACAAAGCTGCCAAGAGCAAGATAGTATCTTGGACGAGTTTTGACTGGTCAGCATCTGTAACCTACCTATAGCGGGTTGAGTAAATTTAATTTTGCACATTAGACGAAATGCTTATCCTGTATTCCATTTCGGCAGAGCCACAGCCTTTGTGTCAGGCTGAAAATGTCTCATTATTCAGTGGTCTGCAGTATTAAAGCTCAGTTCTCTTCTGAAATAGGATCCAGCCCCACTCCAGAATGTGGGTGGACTATACTGTCACACATGGGAGCCACTAGCGCTTGCATTGTTCTTAGAGAGTCCACAGTTCAGTGAAACTGTTACCAGTTGTGACCCTGGACAGGTTACTGTGTGTCTGCTTGGCAAAGCCTCACATCTGCTTCACAGGGTTGTGCTATCTGAGGTAGCATCTACAAAATACCTAGGATAGAGCTTGCCACACAGGATGCAGACAAGGGATATTAGCCACCATTATTTTTAGTGTTTATTATTGACAAAAATCCGTGTTTTCCAAGAATCTAAACTGTTAGAGGCTGTGAAAGGTAAAGCGAAAGTGATGTCTACAGGCTGTTAGGACTCAAACTGCTCTTTTAGTTGATTGAAGTCCTGGGTTGTTGGTTCCCTGGTTTGGCACTGGGTCACAGTTCGAGGCCTAATGTGACACTGGGTCTTCAGGCTGGGACAGAGAACTAATGTGAGCAGTAATTCTGTGGGAGAGATTCATGCAGGAGAACCCAGACTTTTTTCTGGGTATCACTAAAACCCCATCATCAATTCCATGGTCCCAACTATGCAGGAAGGAGGGGGCCTGGAGAGAGAAGCAAAACTCCCACTAAGTCCATAATCCTGGCATCTGTTAGGAAGTGCAAATGAACAGAAACAGTAAAAACAGCGGCATGTTTTATGTACACATTAAGCAGGATGAAATGCTGGTGAGAACGTTAGATTCCAGTAGTTTGGGGTCTTATGTTTAAGTCCAGCTCTATGCTTGGCTCAGTTTGATCCATAACAGGCCTTTCTGTCAACTGCTTCTTGTCTGGAAGAGGGGGAAATGAAGATGCACCTTCTACCCTGTCATCCCTTTCTCTCTGAGGTGACTGGCTGAACTCCATCTAAGTACCTTGGGAAGAAAGCAAAAAGACCCATCTCGACACCCTCAGCCACAGGGCATTCAAATGCCTAGCTCTGGAGTTCAGAGGAAGACTGCCAACAGACATAGTGATTGAAGTACTGTATTCCAGGGTGTTTTTGCGAAAGACAAGAGAAAAGCATGTGACCTTATGCCCAGCAGATTGCTTGGCCTCTCTGGACTAAGAGAGAAACTGTCACTAGGAACCGGTGGGCAGGCAAGCCCCTGGAGATGGCTGCAGGGTGCTTGTGAGGATACGGTCCTGGGGCAGGGCGGGTGCCGGATAATTGCACGTTTCAGGTGCGCTGGGAGGCAGGGGGCCAGAGGTCGATGCGGAAAGCAGCCAGGACGGAGGGTAATTATTGCTTGCACTGGAATGTTTTATTCCATTTAGAAAATGGTCTGATTGTTTTTGCTTTTTTTTTTTTTCACACTATAGGAAAACAGCCAGGTAGGGTAGATCCAGGCTGTGTGGGTGGTGCTCTCTAATTGCTGGGCTGGACTTTGGTTTGCCAATTAGATGGCTCCCTTAGACCTGCCCTTCTCTAACTTGATTGCTGCATGGGGCAACTGTGTTTTGTATAACCTCTTTCATACCCGGTGGAGCAGCTTTCAACACGTAGATTCTGTCTTGGCACAGTCAGGCCCTTTCAAAAGCACTGACATCAAAATCAGATACTGACTTACCCAAAAAGGAATACAGGGTGTCACCTCTCCAGAGGTGATTTCTGTTAGTGTTCATACCTCCATGTGAGCTCTCTGGATGGGTTCAAGTAAGTCAAGAATTGCAGTTGGAAAGAGCTGTTTATTGAGAATACATAGGTTTTTTTTTTTCTCCTCGTACACAAAAATTAACTAAAAACAAATCACAGATCTACATAAGAATTAAAACCATGAAAGCCTTAGAAGAAAACATAAGTATTTTTGATGTAGGATTAAGCAAGGCTTTCCTATATGTGACACAAAAATCACTAGCAACAATGAAAAAATTGAGTTTGATTTCATGAGAACTGAAGACTTTTGTGCAATGGAAGATACCGTCACAAAGTGAAAAGAATAGAGAGGAAAAAAAAAAAAGTAAAAAGAGATCCCTCAGAATGGGAGCAAGGACTTTCAAATGTTCTATAAGGAACATGTGTCTGGATTATTTAAAAAAAAAAAAAAAAAAAAAAAAAAACAGAAACCCTCTTATAGCGTATTCTAAAAAGACAATTTGAACAGACAAATTCATGTCCAAATGGTTATCCACATGGTCGGCCCTGAGATCATTTACTCAAAAGAGGCAGTGTACAGACTGAACAGGCTGTACTTACATACTTAGGGAAAAACACATATATCAACAATTTAAAAAGAAAGATAAGGCCTTGAATTTGAGAGAGACCAGTGTGGGGCATGGTACGTGGGAAGGGATGGAGGATGGGAAGGGGAGAATTATATTTTAATTAAAATTGATTTTAAAATATGTGAAAAAAGCCAATAAGCACATGAAAAGTTGTTCAGCAATGTTAGCCATTAGGGAAATGCCAAGCAAAACCACAATGCAGCCCTGCTTTGCACTAGCTAGGATGCCTATAATCAGGAAGGCATAATGACAAATGTTGGTGAGGATGTGGAAAGCTGAAATCCACACACATTGTTGGTTGGAATGTCTAGTGGTTCAGCTACCTTAGAAAAAACCCTCAGAGTGTTAATCATGGAGTTGCCATGCAATGCAGCAATTCCATTTCTGGGTATAGACCTGGAAAGGGTCCAAGCAGAGACTTGAAGAGCTGTTTGTTCACCCGTGTTCACAGCATCATTATTCACAGAGCCCAAAGGTGGGAGTAACCTGAGTATCCATCAGCTGATGAGAGTCAGCAAACCTTGATAAAGACATTATTTTCTGGTCCATGCTATTTGTGACGGTATCTTCCATTGCACAAGAGTCTTCAATTCTCATAAAATCAAACTCAATTTTTTCATTGTTGCTAGTGATTTTTGTGCCACATATAGGAAAGCCTTGCTTAATCCTACATCAAAAATACTTATGTTTTCTTCTAAGGCTTTCATGGTTTTAATTCTTATGTAGATCTGTGATTTGTTTTTAGTTAAGAACACTGTGCCGAGTGAAGTGAGCAAAGCCCACGTGTTATGATTCTGCTTGTATGAACGGTCCAGAATGGGTTCATCTATAAGGAGAACGGGAAGACTGTTAGTGCCGAGGTGCAGGGAAAGAGGTTGCGGGGATTCGGTGGGGATGGAGATTTGGTGTTGATGGGGATAAGATTTCTACTGGGGATGAGGAAAAATGCTCTAAAGCTGCATTGCAGTGATAGTTGCCCAAGTTGGCAATTATATGCTAAACATTGTTGAATTGGGATGTTTAAAAACATGAAGCATAAATGCAAACTATATCTCAAAGCTGTTCTAATAAGAACTTAAGATTTTTTGAGTTATTTTACTCAGGCCGAGAAGTTCTTCTGCCTTTGAAGAAAGAAACAGAGCAGATAAACACTCAGTGATTACATAGGAAGGTCTTGGCAGCTGAAGTGTCTGGAGAGATTTGTCTCTAAGGAGCTTCTGTGCAAATGGAGAAGACAGCAATAAGTCAGAGATATTTTGTAGTTTGGATCCAGAATGGCCGCAAAGGCTCCTGTGTAGGATGGTGGCTCTAGCCCTGGTTTGTAATGCTGTTGGGTTGGAGGAATGATGGAAGCTCTAAGAAGGGAAGCCTCGTGGAAGGAAGTTAGGGCTCTGGGAAGTAGCAACAATGTCTCCTATCCCTTCTCTATTTAATTCAAGCCCTCCCAAAGCTTTTCATACTAGCACCCCTGCCCCCCCGGAATATTAACTACACAGAACCAGGGATTCGAGGCGGTGGAGGAAGGACTATATATATTACCTTTACTAAGTAAACTATGAATATTGAAAAATGATTTCTACATGTTTCATGGGGATTCTTGTGTAGATCACAAAATGGGTAAGTATATAAATCTTTTATACCAACAAAGGCCATTTGGGGTGTGGTTTTACATGTATATATATTGTGTTATTTTTCATATGTAATATAATTTCATACATGTACATAGTATATTTTGGTCACACCTACCACCTCATTCCCCTAAAGACTTTTTTTTTTTTTGAGATAGGGTCTTATGTAGCTCAGCTGGCCTTGAACTTGTATATAATTAAAGATGACCTTGAACTACTGCTTCTACCTCCCAATTTGTTGGATAACAGGCATATGTCACCATGATGAGCTTTTGATCTTTCTTGAAGTTTCTGAAGTGCTTATTGAGAAGGGTTTGGTCTAAAATAGTTGTCAAATGCCCTCTGTGTGCATGGAACCAGCAAATATGAATGTAGAGGCAGTATTTTAGTAAAAGTTCTCATAGGACACATGGTGAGAGAATTTGATTGACTTGGGGGAGCAGGGCAGATAGGCTTCTAAAAGATGTCAGCCAGAGAGTAGCTATTGGAACAGAAAAAAAGCCATCATTCAGAAAATAGCCTGGTTTCTTATGTACACAAAGGGTTGTTCCCAGTCATCCTGCGGCTGAAGGTACCGTGAAACCCATTTTGCAGATCAGGAAACTAAGGCTTGGATTCCTTAAAGAGCTTCCCAAAGACAAAGCTTGGAAGTGGTAGAGTTGGAACTTAGTTTTTGTGATTATAACCCTTTCCAGGATAGCCAACTACCTCTTTCAATAAGACAGAAGAATATATTGAATAACATCTTTTTTCTCTGATAACGGAAATTCTTATAAATGATCCTTGGTGAAAATTCAGAAAAAAACATAATATAAGAGATGAAACGCTATCTGTTGTCTCAGCACTGCAAACAAGGCAGCATATAGCTGTCTGGCCTCAAATTTGAACTATACTGCATTAGAACTTATTTTTAATAAAATATATTGATAATGTTTCTCTTATGTAATAATTATTTTGGTTATCAAGAATTTCTATTTTGAATTTATTATAATCATCTGACTTTTAGGGTTCTTCTCTAACTTTACTATTATAACCAGTGTTGGATTGAATATGTTTTGCAGACCAACCTATTTTTTAGACATAGGTGAGAGCTGGGAATTTATCCTGAGGAAAAAAAAAAATTTAAAGGGGTTCACATTTTAAAGAATTTAACTTGAATTGTCAGATTGCCTTGAAAAGATGATTCAGGCTCCATTTTCACATGAGAGTGTTTATTTTCCTGCTTGCTTTGGCTCTTGTCCTTTTAACCTGTCAGTTCCAGAGTTAATCTCCTTAGCATTTGAACTTTAATTTCTTTCCTTACCAAAGGAGGTGACTTTTTTCTGTGTTGATGGTAAGGGTATTAAATGCCAAAATATATGATGCTGACTCATGGCCACTGCACATGGCAGAAGCTGGATACAGGGATGGCCTTAAAATGCAGGTGCCTAAGCCCTGTGGCTTTGCTGTCAGCAGGGAAACCACACAGGGATGTGTGAGGGTGGTCCAGGAGCAGGAAGGTGCATGAGGGAGGGATTGCTTGGATCCAATAACTTCTCTCTCTCTTTTTCACGTAGGTCCTTAAAGGTGGACAGGAAGCACCCACAAAACCTAAGGGGCGCCCCAAGAAGAACTCCATTCCCACATCAGAGGAGATTGAAGCTGAAGAGAAGATGAATAGCCAGGCCCAGGGCCAAGAGCAGCTGGAGCCCTTGCAGGGACACGAGGAGTCCTGTGATATCCAGGAGCCCAAAGCATGCAGTGTCCCCTTGGAGGTGGCAGAACCACCTCACCAGCCCCAGGAGTTGCCGGAAGCTTCCTCTGAACCCCCACCATTAAGCTAAAATAAAGTTCTGTGGGGGAAGGGGGAGACTGGGAGGAAGGGAAGAGAGAAGGCAAGGAGACGTTGAAAGGACAGAAGACCTCTAAAGACAGCAAGGTGTAGGTAGAAGAGCGCTGCCTGTCTCCCTCCTCCCAGTGGCATTCTCTTCCTGAGCATTTGATGAAGATTTGCTCGCGTGGGACTTGCCCTTCTTGCAAGGCTGTGTTAGCCACAGATACCCTTGAGTAAGGGAGATAGCGCTTTGGAGCTGATTCCCGGGCTTGGGTGATGGCTGTGGGGTTGGGTACAGCAGTTTGTCAGTGTGGCAGGCTGGGCTGGCCTGCAGTGAGGGTGGTTCTTCTTCCTCCCTGCTCCCCTCTGGGCAGCTGGTCAGAGAAGCAGAGAGAGGTAGGTGGAAGTGCTTGGGAGGCTTACCCAAGCTCCTTGCCGACTCAGCGCTTATTTCTGTAGTTTTAAGAGAATTGAATGTTTTTGGATTTTTGTTTTTTGAGGGTGGGGTGGGGAAAACTGTTGAAGGCAGACAAAAAAAAAAAAAAAAAAAAAAAAGAAGAAAGAAAAAAGAAAAGAAAAGAAAAAAAGAAAAGGAGTTGGAGGGGAGTTACTAGGGACATCTCAAGTCCTGCTTGTCTGTCTGTAAACACGTGTGCCTTTGTACCTTTGTAAGATGGTCAGGTGACAAAAGAACCCATGATCCTCGCCTTTCCCTTCATTAAGTTGCCATCCCTGAAGCTGCAAATGCAGATATGTTAAGATAACTTTTATTTTTTAATTAAAAGTAAATCTTTCAAGAAGATTGTCTTGTTTATTTGTTTGTTTGTTTGTTTGTTTAGAGAAGTGTCCTGTGGAAAGAGAGGTAGCCAGTTTCCCTGGGCCTTTCTGCTCCCATCTACAAAGCAAAAGTTGGGCTAGACCACTAGTGCCCAAGTACAGGAGCCACAGAAGTGACGCTGTGGTCGCGAGGTGAGGGAGCTGAGCAGCTGGGCTGCCTGGCAAGTACGTGGCCAGTGGCTGTACAGCCGGGACTCCAACCTTAAAAATAGTTGTAGTTTTAAAAAAAATATACTTATTTACTTTATCTGCGTGTGTGTGCGTGTGTGTGTGTGTGTGTGTGTGTGTGTGTGTGTGTGTGTGTGTGTGGTGTGTGCTCATGCCACAGTATGTGTATGTAGGCCGGAGGACAGGAGTCAGTTCTGTCCTACCATGTAGATCCTGGTGTTCAGTCAGGCATCGAGTCAAGTGCCTTTACTTGCTCAGCTGTCCTGCAGGCTGGCCCTATTGAATAGCTAGTTAAGTGCTATGCTTTAAAAGGCCAAAACTCTCTAAAAAATGAGCCTTGCTTCTAACCAAACCTTTAAGCACAATCCTGTATATTAGTTTCTCGTTTCTCAGAGACAGAGTCTTTTGACCCAAGGAAGAGGGATGCGTCTATGTCTGGAGAGGGTGCAGCAGGCAGCAAAGACAACCAAGGAGAGAGCAGTGAGGATGTGGGAAGGGGGTCAAAAAGCACCAGCTACTCCAGGGTTTAGGCAGTGTAGGCAATGAGAAGTGCATAGAAACCCTGAGAGGGGATTCTGTATGCAGTTCATTTCAGCTCTACACCTAGCACATTCTGCCCTTCTCTGGCTCCTTTCAAACGGATGAAAGAGTAAGGAAGTATTCTGAGAGGATTAGGTCTTGACCTAGCCACAGACTTCAGCAAGAGAGAAAAACTCCAAACTGGTCTACTGAAGACCAGTGTTTCTGATAAATCTGTTTAGATGAGTTTGAGGGCTTGTGGCTCACACTGCGAGACCCAATGTGTTACTGAATTCTGCATGGTTTGGGTCTCTCTTAGCAAATCTCTAAAGATAGCATGGGAGCCATCTGGTACACAGTGACCCAGACTGCAGTCACTGGGTAGATGAACATCACTAACAGCATTCAGTGGGCTCTGTAGCAGGAGTCTGTTTTCTACCAGAACAAATGCACAGGGTGGGAGCAGAGCCAAAGAGAAGCTCTCACTGGGACCAACAGCACCCTCATCACAGGCCCTTGTCTGGGAGGAGAGAAGCCTTGCTTATGAGGAAAAATCTGCAGGGACTGCTTGGTCCTCAGCATGTCTCCTGAGCAACTACAGGACCCAGGCATCGGTCTCTTTCTGATTGACAGGCTTGTAGAGAACTGAAAGAACCAGCCCCCTTCACAGCCTAATTGGACAGCAGTAGGTTTTTAAAAAAAATGTATAAATAGGCTTTTTTCTAAGCTTGCCAGAGCAGGGTGAAAGTCTCTTGGGTCAGCTGCTGCAAGCAAGACTTACCTAACTCCTTTCTCTTCCTCTGGAAAAGTTCAAAAATTGACCAGAAGCCATTCCTTACATTAAAATCTGTACCCTTGGTGGCCATCATCCTGTATTCCAGAGGAGAGGGAGAATGCACTCTTAGCAAGGCCAGCAGGTGAAAAAAGGAAGGTAAGAGGCGCTGAGAAGCACAGCAGGGTGAGACAGTGCTGGGGGCGGGGGTTGCTCAGTAATTTGTCCTGGAATTGCCTAGAACAACCTACCTCCTGCAACATCCCAGAGGAACCTTGTGAAGCTGGTACCTGGATACCTATCACAGGTCCTGGGAACTATGTGAAAAGGGAAACACAAAGTCGGAGGAAGAGCAGGCCTTGACTTCCAAACAAAGCCATAAACAGAAAGCCCAGCCCTTTCCACCGCTGGAGAGACATCTGCATGCCAATGTCAGTACTACTCACAGTACTGAAGATGAGAGTCAACCAAAGGATCCAACTGACAGGTAGAAAAAGAAACTGGTTCCTGAACACAATGGAGTACTATTTGGCATAAAACAGAAGGAGGCTTTATCATCTGGGACAAAAGTAAATGGACCGAAAGGTCATCACCTTCAGTGGAAAAGGAGACAGCTAAAGAAGACAACAATGACATGTTCTTAGTATGAAGATGCTAAGGAAGTGGAGGGGATGATAAAAGAGAGTGTAGTCATGGCAACTACCAGGTGTTAAGGATTGGAGAAATGATGGGTAAAGGATATAAGACTTGATGGGGTTGGAGAGATGGCTTAGCAGAATGAGCACCAGCTGCTCTTCTAGAGGACCCAGGTTCAATTCCCAACGCCCACATGGCAGCCCACATCCCATCCTCCAGTGCCAGAGGATCCAACGCCCTCACACAGACATATATGCAGGCCAAACACCACTGCACATAAAATAAAAATAAATGAACCATTTTGTTCAAAAATATTTTCGTTAGGATGAATAGGTTCAAGACATCTATTGTACAACATGGTGATTACAGGTGTCAGAGTATTGCACTATTAAAAATTGCTGAGAGTAGGTTTTCATTATTCTGACCACAAAATAATGGTATATGAAATAATGCAAATGCCAATTTGCCTAATGTAGCCATTCTACATTGTATGCAGATTTTAGAATATCAGATATGCCTTAAGTATGTATAATCTGTGTTTGTCAATTGAAACTAATAATAAAGGCCCAGCCTGACCCATCTTTGATTCATCAGAAAATACAGATAAAGAAAAAGAGAAACATGCATTTCTTTGGCTGAAAGATAAACCAAGAGCTTATACGTGGAGGTACCCTTGGGCTGGGCCTTACCAAACACAAGGAAAGATAATCCCAGGTCTTAAATCCTCCAGTGAAATGTCTTTAAGGCCGCCAGGCAAGAAAGAAATGAAAGAGGAGTCAGAAGCGCCTGGAACCCAGCACGTGGGAGAACCAGCATGTGTGTGCACAAACAGGTCCATACAGTTACAGACGCTCAGTAAAGGGCATCCTAAGTGCCCAGAGCAAGAGACCAAAAGCCCACACAGAAAACTGGCTTCTCAGTGAGAAGCGTCTCCTGGAGTGAGAACAGAGTGGTTCCTCGGAGTCTAACTGGCCGCATCCACGTGCTGTCTCTGGCCATTGCGCATCTCCTCTGGTTTGTCGTGACACCACCTGACTGGAAGATTGTAAAATTGTACTTTGGGGTGGGCAGAGTTGATGAAGACAGCTCTCTGCACACTTGCTGGAAGCCACCTCACACAGGCAGCCGGGTGTGGTCTGCGCAAACTGGTTCTCAGAGGCCAAGTCCTTAACCCCTTTGTCTATTCACAGGAGTAAAAAGAAAGCTTTCTGTGCCCTTCTCAGCAGCGAAGATGTCAGTGGGCCTTGGTGATGTCAAGGCTGCGGTTGCCCTCTGACTGCTTGTCAGTGGAGAGAAGCAGGCAGCCAAATGGCCACACATGAAGAGATTCCCCCTCCCCCTTTTTGGCTCTGAAATGTTTTATATGACTCTTTCACAGAGAGAGTAATCAGTTCTGCCTCCTAGATGAGGTCCTGTTAGCAGCTGGCTGCTATCTTCCAAGCCTGCAACTTGGTAGGGGTGACAGTAATCGGTTACTGGCCAACCACTAACATGGTGTTGTGTCCTGAAGGGCATCACAGGGAAACACCATTAAAGGTGACCCCGAGAAATCCAGCCTCATGGCCAGAGTGTGTGAGAGTGGGACAAACCCTCTCTTGTGACATTCGCTGCCCAGCGCTGCCTGGTCTTATTTAAGGTGGGGCATCATTACTACCCTTCATTTGTCTTCCTCTGATGCTGGGAGTGGATTCCAGGCCCCTGTGCAGGTAAGAAAGCACTGTCACTGGGTACCAGCCCATTATGATGTGACATTAAGTGTGAAGTCACTTAGCACAGCTAGCCAGTCTGCCCTTAAGTCTTCTCTTTTTTTAAAAAAAAGTTGGATACTGTCTCGGAGATCCTGGACCCGGATGTACTCTATGTTCAAGAGACAGTGTCCTTTCTCCACTCCTTTCTCTCTCACACCTCAGCAGGACAGTGTGAAGCCACCTCCTCCTAAGAGTGCTCCACATCTGACCCCACCTTCTCTCCAGTCCAACCTGTTCACTCTTCCCTCGCCTCTTCTTAATGCGCCTTTTGTAACTGCTGCTGTCTCCTGCCATTTTCCCAAGAAGGACACGGATTCTTTTTTGTTCCCCTATTAGAGCATAAATCCCTTGGGGCTGTTTTTCAGTTTGTGTGCTGGCACTTTCTTTTTCTCTGCTGAGGTCTCCAGAGGCGTGCAGCCTCGCAGTTAAAGGGTCTGTGTTCTCCTGGCTTCCTGCTAAGTTGTTGTTGTTGTTGTTGTTGATGGCTCTACAGAAACTTGCATGGCTCACTGCCATGAAGCCAGAGGCCCCTCATCATAAAGTACCTCTCCTGGTTCCTAGCCATCCTCAGGGCAACAGATCTATCCATGGGGTGTGGGGTTGTCTGCATTTTTAAGAAAACAAGAAGAGAAAGATAACCATTTCACTGTACTGAAATTCTCCCAGAACCCAAGAAAATAATGCTGGACCTCTTTCCCCTGAGGAAGCTATTTTGAAATAAGGGCAACAAGGAATCCACATTTGAAGGACCTTGTTGGAAAGGGCAAAGGCTGCTGATTGTGCTATCTCCTTTTGGAAAAAGTCTGGACAGG